TTTAATGGGGTTTTTATTTCGGGGTAACCTAGTTTGGGGGTTTGTGCTCCCACAAACCCAGCAGGGTACACACTGGTAAATTCTTCACTCTGGTAAACTGATAGCAAGACAGTAGGATTCTTGGAGTAATTCTGAACACCAAGCCTTTTTAAACTATATACGTGGAAGTTTGTGGCATTCCCTGTTCAGATTCTATTAGAAAGCAAGGAGGCAGTTACAAGGTCGAGGGAGGCGGGGAGGGGATGGGTGAAGACGTTTTTAAGGATTTACAGACCAGATGATCTGTCCAGGTTCGATAAAGCCAGACCATGAAAGCAGGTGTGTGTGTGTGTGTGTGTGTGTGTGTGTGTGTGTGTGTGTGTGTGTTAGTACTTTTTGCCTTTGTAAGAAGCTGTTCCCTAAGCTACTGAACCACTTTCACCTCAGCGCACTTGGTGAGTGTCAGCCCATATTTAAAGCCTTCATTTCTAGAGACTCCTATTCCTTCTCCTCTCCCCTCCCCTTCCTCCAGGTCCCTCCACTCCCACTCACTGCACCTTCAGATACTGGCTTGGAAAACATTTAACTCTCTTTCCTGCCCCTTCTTTCTGGTTTCAATTCCCCAGACAATATTCTAAGCTTCTCTCTATCTCTCTTTTAGTTTCCTAATGACTTTAGCAATGCCATCCGAAGTGAGTGAAGACTAACAGTATACTTGGGGGAATAATATCAAGCCTACTTTAGACTTTTAAAAGTTTTTTCTTTGTTGCTTTGTTTTGTTTGCTTGTTTATTTTTTACTCAACTCTCGTATCAAAAAGAACTTGCCCCTGTTAAATATGATAACCTATCTGAAATGTAATTGGAGCAGGCATACAAACGGTGGAAATTGTAGTTTCAGACATAAAATTCCAATAGGCAATTGATCCTTTTAGCCTGGTTTTTCACCTAAGAAATATTTGAGTGTTTACTATAAGTTTATTAGTGGTTTTGCTTGTGAGTAACAGAAGCTGCCTTACACTAACTTCACAGGGAAAGAATGTCAGACAGCTGACAGAACTGTAGGAAAGCCAAGCAAGAACCAAGCACAACAAAGCACAGAAAAGAGCCAGGATCCTGCCCTGCCAGAGGCTGTTCAGCCAGCCTTTGCTTATGCTGTACCTCAGCTTCTTCCACCAAGAGCAGCCTCCACCTCACCCCTTATTCATTTATTTTTTGTTGTCATTTACAAGAGCTGGCAGTGTGTGTGTGTGTGTGTGTGTGTGTGTGTGTGTGTGTGTGTGTGTGTCCTAAGTGCAAATATCAGGACTGGAAAGAGCAGCACTGTGTGTCCCCTCGCAGTGGACACATCAGGATATCCCATCCAAATGGCAGAGTGCTTGGAGAGTGGGAACAAGACAGAGTGTCCAGAACTAGGTAACCACACAGATGCTGTGGATAAAACAGGGAGGGGTCTGATGTGGTCCTTGTTCTCACAGACCTTGCATTTTCAGTAAGTCGACAACTACTCATTTTTTTTTAATGTAAAGAGTAAAACAACGAAGAATTATTCAGATCCCATTTATAAAAGAGTTATTCAGATCCCATTATATCTTTTCGTTATTTTTGGTATGATTGGCTGTTGGTCAGGAGAACTTAAAAATTACTGGTGTAGGAGGCTCTTATGTGTAGTCCATGACCCTAAATCCCAAGGTCAAGGAGGGCAGGGATCTGCATTTCAGTCCTTTCTTTTTATTGGCCAGCTAGTTGATGGAGGCCTTGAAGTTCTTCAAGGTGCCCTGCATTTAAAACCTTATTGGTATGAGTCAACTATTGTAAAAACGATGTCTTTAAATTAAAAAAATATTTTTATATTTTAAAAACAATATCTTTATTATTTTTTGAAAATGTTATACAATATATTTTGTCCATACTCACCCCTCTCCCATTTCCTTCTGCCTTCATTCTTACCTCCTCCATACCCAATATTGAGTTTTCCTTTTTTTTTGTCTTTTACCCCTCTAGTCCAATGTGTGCTATTTAACCAGTTTTAGGAGTGGGGCAAATAGGGTCTAAATGATTGGACTCATTTTCTTCAACCTCTTTAGTTGTCTTGATTTTGAGCCCAAATGGTTTTAAGACTTAAGGTTTTAAAAAAGTTATTTCTGGGGGACTGGAGAGTTGGCTCAGCAGTTAAGAGAACTGGTTGCTCTAGCAGAGGACCTGAATTTGGTTCTTAGTACCTTCATGATGTCGCACAGCCATTATGACTGCTAATCCGGGGGGATCTGATGCCTGCTTCCGGCTTCTTCCAGCACCTGTCACATGTCACACATATGCAGTTACATGCATGCAGACGAAATGCTGACATACAGAAAATAAAATCTCTCTCTCTCTCTCTCTCTCTCTCTCTCTCTTTGAGAGAGAGTTTCTCTGTGTATCTCTAGCTGTCCTGGAACTTGCTCTGTAGACCAGGCTGGCTTCCAACTCAGATATCAGCACACTTCTGCCTTTCCAAGCACTGGGATTAAAGGAGTGCTACCACCACCAGGCTTAAAAATAAATTAAAAAAAAAAGTGTGTCTGACGAATAAATTGTAAATATGAAATAACATCATATCCCGGAAAGCCTTTAGACTTTTTTTTTCCCAAGTGAATTTTATTTCTAGTTCCAAGTGACATGTGTCAGTGGGTGGGTTGCTGCTTCCATCCTCTAATGATAACATTTTGGCTCTTTTCTGCCACTCATTTTCAGACTGAAAGGGCAGAAGAAATGGATAGAGAATGTGAGAGAACAGGAGATTGTCATAGTTTAAAGTGGTTGTCTCAGTTCATACTATTTCTTGAAATTTGTGGCAGGTCTTTATGTATTCCTTTCAAAAAGAGAGTTTTAAACTGTTTGTAAAACAACAACAACAAAACCCCAACTATTTGACAAGGTGAAATCCTTCCATAAAACCCCTGTTTCCTCAACATGGAACTATATTGATATTTCTCAGGCATCAAAGTACTTTGCCTGGGAAAGATGGGGGAACAGTTGCAAAGGTCACGTTTAACATTAGGTTTGTTACCCAATATAAGCAAATAAGAACAGTCCTCATTATTTTTGCATTCTTGGTGTACTGAAAAAACTTGGGCATAGATCAAATGGATATACATTAAACCAGGTCCTTGCTTTGCTTATTAGTTCTTGCACATTAGTGTATATATATGTATATATATATATCTATATATGTATATATATATGTATGTATATACATCAGGCTAGCCTGATCTATAAAGCAAGTCCAGGATAGCCAAGGCTACACAGAGAAACCCTCTCTCCAAAAACCAAAAAAAAAAAAAAAAAAAAAAGGTGGGGGGCATGAATAATGAAACAACCATCTAAAGGTACAAACACAGTACTGATTTCCACACAGTGGAGTTACTTACAGTGGTGGGGTCTGGAGTGAGCAGAGGGCAGCTGGCAGCAGGAGATGCTAAAAGAGCTTCTGGATTCTGAATGGTCTGAGATTTTATCTATCTATCTATCTATCTATCTATCTATCTATCATCTATCTATCTATCTATTTTTGCCTTGGTTTGTTTACTCCTTCTCTAAGCTACTCTGAATCCTACTCACCCTTTAATACAGCATTTGTCAACTGCCTGGATGAGATTCATAGTAGGAAATGAGATTCATAGTAGGACATTCTGTGTGTGTGTGTGTGTCTGTCTGTCTGTCTTCTCTCCCTCTCCAGAAAGGATTTCTTTTAATTTAAAAATGTTCCCCCTTAAAGGACATTTCTTTATTTAGTGTGCATGTATGCAGGCTTGTGGAGGTCAGAGGAACACATGTGCAAGTTGCTTCCGTCCTTCTACTGTGTGTCCCTGTCCATTCCCAGGGATGGAACTCAGGCTGTTGGGACTGCTGGGAAGTACCTTTACCTGATATGAAAAAAAATTAAAGCTATTTTAATTGACAAAAATTTTATATACTTATAATGTACTGAATGTTAGTTTGAAATTTGTGTAGAATGGAATGGTCAAATGGAGCTAACATATGTGTTGATTCACTTTGTGTGTATTAAGAAGCTGGAAACAACCCAGATGCCCCTCAATTGAAGAATGGATGCAGAAACTGTCGTACATCTATACAATGGAGTATTACTCAGCAATGAAAAATAAGGAAATCATGAAATTTGCAGGTAAATGGTGGGACCTGGAAAGGATCATCCTGAGTGAGTTGTCCCAGAAGAAAAAAGACACGCATGGTATATACTCACTCATATAAACATACAACATAGAATAAACCCACTAAAATCTGTACATCTAAACAAACTAAGCAAAAGAGAGGACCCTAACTAAAATGTTCAATCCCCATCCTGAAAGGCAAAGAGGATGGACATCAGAAGAAAAAGAAAATAGGAAACAACCTCGGAACCTGCTACAGAGGGCCTCTGAAAGCCAGAAGAAAACAGGAAACAACCTTGGAACCTGCCACAGAGGGCCTCTGAAAGCTTCTGCAGTATAGACCGTCAAAGCAGATGCTGAGCCTGATGGCCAACTGATGGGCAGAGTGAATGGAATTTTATGTAAGAAGTGGGAAATAGTAAGAGCTGGAGGGGACAGGAACTCCACAAGCAGAGCAACAGAACAAGATAATTTGAACACAGGGAACTTCCCAGAGACTCATACTCCAACCAAGGACTATTCGTGGAGATAACCTAGAACTCCTGCACAGATGTAGCCCATGGCAGTTCAGTGTCCAAGTGGGTTACATAGTAATGGGAAGAGGGACTGCCTCTGACATAATCTGATTGGCCTGCTCTTGATCACCACCCCCTGAGGGGGGAGCAGCCTTACCAGGCCATGGTAGAGGACAGTGCAGCCACTTTTGATGAGAACTGATAGACTAAGATCAGAAAGGAGAGGAGAACCTCCCCTATCAGTGGACTTGGGGAGTGGCATGCATGCAGAAAGGGGAGGGAGGGTGGGATTGGGAGGGGAGGAGGGAGGGGCTTATGGGGGGATACAAAATGAATAAAGTGTAGTTAATAAAAAATTAAAAAAAAAGAATATCGAGTCAGCTGGGCATGGTGGCACACGCCTTTAATCCTAGCACTCAGGGAAGCAGAAGTAGGTGGATCACTGTGAGTTTGAGGCCAGCCTGGTCTACAAAGTGAGTCCAGGATAGCCAAGGCTTGTCTTGAAAAACCACACACACATACAAAATGTTGCATCAGCACAGTACAATAGAAGTTTTGATTTTACTCTTTCAAACTGAAAGTTTATAGTCCCTCATGAAATCTCCCCAAACCTTCCCAGCTGCGACTCTCTCGACTCCGGCAATCATCATTCTACTTTCTGTTCCTATAAGTTTGACGTTTTTAGATTCCACACATAAGGGTGAACGTGCATTATCTGCCTTTCCGCGAGCAGTGTATTTCTCTTCGATTAGTTCCACTCGGTTCATCTGCACAAACCCGCGGAGCTTCCTGTGGCTGAATCTACTAGGCTGTGAGTACACTATGGACTATTTGCATATCTGCCACAATTTCCCAATCCACTCATCTATTGGTGACACTGAGTGTGATTCCCCGTTTCAGCTATTAACACCGCTTCAGCTAACATGAGAACTAACAGCATATCTCTTTGACATACTGATCTCGTGTCCTTTGGAGATTTATGGGACCTCTGGTAGCTCTTTTACTTTTTCTAAGCAAGATAGACATCTTTTGAGCGTCTTCTTGTAGAGGAACTCATAGCTGACTCCTGATAGTTCGGGAAGGCGCTCTTTTCTCCTCTGCCCCACACTCATTTTGTTCAGGCCACCAGAGACTTTGCCTGGCATTGCCGTTTGCACATGTAATAGTGACCGTTTTGTTAGCTGACACTTTCGGATGCCGCCTTGCCAAGAAGTTCCCAGTGGCAAGTCAGCGCGCTCTTGATTCTCCTTCATGCAACGCTTTCAGTAAACCCTGGGCTGCGGGTTAGAAGGAATGTTCACTGAAGCTGTAGGAGGCAGAGAGTCAATACACACCAAATACAAACTCAGAACGGTTCACCGTGAAATACCAATGTTGGGACTAAAACACCACGGTCCAGCTTGGCGAAGAGGAATTGCACACACCTTATTTAAGTTGAAAGCTCTAAACATAAACTTGGACTAGGACTGTGGCAGTGGCATGTGTAAAGACCAGAGTGTGGTAATGTGCTCTAGTTGAGGGTCTTAGTCCACGTGTTCGGTTTGTGCGATTTGGGATTTCAGAGTCTATATTTTGGAACGAGACCTAAGTCTAAGTATGAAGTTCATTTATGCTTTACATACAGCATGTACGAGTAACCTGTAGGTGATCTTACACAATCCTTTTAGTGACTCTGTGCCTCATCACATGCGTTTACGTGTAAAATTTTCCACCTCTGGTACCATGTTGGTGCGCAAAGATTTTAGATTTTAGATTTTCAGAATAAACATGCTCAATCTGTGTTAGTACAAACATCTTTTTTTATTTTTATTTTTAATTTTAATTTTTAAATTATTATTATTTATTACAATTTATTCACTTTGTATCCCAGCTGTAGTCCCTTCCTTCATTCCCTCCCAATCATATCCTCCCTCTCTCATCTCCTCCCATGCCCCTCTCCAAGTCCACTGATGGGGAGGTCCTCTTCCCCTTCCATCTGACCCTAGCTTATCAGGTCTCATCAGGAGTGGCTGCATTGTCTTCCTCTGTGGCCTGGTAAGGCTGCTCTTCTCTCAGGGGGAGGTGATCAGAGAGTATATAACAGAGTTTCATGTCAGAGATAATCCTTGCTCCCCTTACTAGGGAACCCACTTGGAGACTGAGTTTATGGGCTACATCTAAGCAGGACCATGCATGGAAAGGACCTAAAACCCCTGCTCAGGTGTAGTATAAACATCTTTTGCTGCACGATGATTTACTTTAGACTGCATTATGAAAAGTGTGGTGTACAGAATCGGCTAGATGGCTGCTGAAGGCGCTGCCTGCCATGCCTGATGATCTGAGTTCAAGTCACACTCTAGATGGAGAGAAGCAAGTTCATAAAGCTATTCCCAGTCCCCACCTTCTGCACACACTTCATAACACACAGACACACAGACTCACACACACTCAACACATTCCACACTTTCTCACATACACATACGCACATACACATTCACACAGACTCACACACTCACACTGTCTCACACACATAAACACTCTCAAACATGCTCACACATACTTTCACACACTCACATACACACTCTCACACACATCCTCACACACACACACACACACACTTACACAATACAATAATGTAATAAAAATTGAGGAAAAAGAAAAATATGATGTACGGCTTATAAGGCAGACAACAGGCTCTTTATATTCGAAGCTGGTGATTTATTCAACTCTGGACACCTCACTTTAATCCGGACACTGATAAATTAAAGTCTCAGGATGTGAGATAAAAAGAAACCAGTTTCCCGGGGAAGAGCTGGAGCAGAAGCTCAGCCTGGAGGAGAGGCAACTGACCCAGTTACATGACTGCCTTCTCAAATATTTGACTCTGTCACATGGCAGGGTCAGGCCATGTAGCTTTTCCTACACCCCCAACCCCCGTTCAGCTTTCGGAGCAAAGGGTAACACAGGCTGCTTTTGTGTCCAGTAGTTACATTTTCCAGAGAGCACAGCGGTTTGTTACACACCAGGGTGAGCTCTTCACTGGAAAGAATGTTGCCAAGGCTGTGACTGCTGGGTTAGGAGGGTAGCAGGTAGGTAGGGTGAAGTAAGTCATCTCTAACTGAACCACAGGATTTGCCAGCTTGCATACTTTAAAAAAAAAAAAGAGTAAACAGTGAAAGTGATTTGATTTAGGTAGCTTTGAAAAAAAAATAAACCAAGGCTGGATATTTTTAAGTTTATACATTTTAAACATTCATGACGGAGATCTTTCCTATCACAGGGCACTACAAGAACATTCCTTTGGAGAAGTATAAATCCGTTATTTATTGGTTGTCTGGATTTCTACAATTAAATAAAGCTATGGAAACTCAATCACTTTTAGAGGTTGCGTGTTGGAATAACCTAAACTGATGTGAGACTTTTTATCATTTGTTGTTCCACTTGCAGGTAATAGTTACCCAGCTGGGTGTGGTGGCACCGCCTTAATTCCCTCCGGGCACTCAGAAGCAGGGGCAGGCAGATCTCGGTGAGTGAGAGGCCAGCCCAGTCTCCAGAGTGAACTCCAGGCCAGCCAGGCAGGGCTACATCCTTAGGCCTTGTCTCAACAACTAAACAAAACAACATCCACGCACATGTGAGAGAAAAAGAAAAGAGTTTCCTGTGGAAGAGCTGGAGCAGAATCTCAGACTAGAGGAGAGGCAAGTGACCGGGCCCTCCAGACATGGTTCCCTGTTCAGGGAACAGGTAACCCTGACCTGTGCTTCAGTGACTCCTGACCCTGCTGGAAGATAGAGAGATGTGATAATTACCAATAATAGTTTTCAGATATCTAAGACACCTCAAGGGTATCTCCAAAAATCTACCCCAAGGGTTGTGTCCTAATACAGTATTAGTAGCCATATAAGTCGATACTTCCTGTTCTTGTGGAGTGACTTGAACTCATTGGCCTGAAATCTAGATAATAAACCATACAGTATTACCCCCTCATGCTAGAACAATGCTCAAACACAATATAGAGGCTGTAAAGCTGGCCACAGAAAGAAATTACTCTCTCAGCTGAATCTACACCCTATAATGAAGGAGTGAGTGGTTCTGCCATTTCTATATTTATTTTATAAAGAGGTTGGGCAAAATGGTTGGTGTTGAGGGTCTCCTCCCAAGGAATAAGTGACATTATTTAAAGCTGGCTCCGCATGACAGCGGTACGCTTTGCTGGCCGAACAGGAGAATTTAGTATCACACTTAATTAATGGTTTTCATTTTACATATCCTTCCTAAAACTATTATTCATTCTGTGGACATTTATGGAATACCTGTTCCTGCTGGTCCTCAGCTAGGCAGGGGTGTCACAGAGATGAATGAGGCTAAGACGGTACTTAGTGTAATCACACATTCATCCGGGCTTCAGGAGAACATGTGAGGTGGGCAGGAAAAAATGGCACTGCTACCGCTTAATTTATTCCAATTTAAAATACTTATTTATTAATATTGTGTGTTTGAGTGTGTGTTCGTGTGTGCGTGCGTGTGCACACGTGTGTCTGCATGCGTTTATGTGCCGGTGATTACTGAGATCAGGACAGGGCATCAGATCCTCTAGAACTGGAGTTACTGGGATGAGCTACCCAATCTGGGTTCTGTGAGTTTGGCTCTTATGGACTATGGCTTTAGCTTCAAGGGTAAGAACAATTTGCCCTGGGTCCTGAAGATGTTCTTACATGTTTTTGTTTTTTTCTGTAGTTTTGTGTTTAACATGGAATTTGTGATCCACTTTAAGCCAATTTTTGTATAAGGGAGATTTACAATACTTACTGGTATTTTATTTTGCATATACGTGAGTGTTGAATTGCCTCTGTCCTGCAGAAGTCGCTAAGTGCTCAAGCTGCGGAGCCAGCTCTCCAGTCCTTACTGTTCCCATATTAAAGATGGAAAAGTGAAGCTTGGAATTTATGTGACTTACTAAGGATCATACACCTAAAAAGCGTCACAATGAGACTTGGATCTGAGGCTTTAATTCGGATTCTAGTTACGTTTTTACTGTATTAACATTTACATTACTGAGAACTGCTGTTTGACGTAAAAAGACTCATTTTCTCATCAATCCCTGATCATAGACATTTTTTTTTAAGTGACTCCTCAGAATAATTTGTGCCTATGTTTTGTGTTTGGAGATTAAAAAAAAAAACACTAATTCTAATATTTTTAATCAAAGTAGAATTACATTACTTCCTTTTCTCTTTTCTCCCCCTACCCCTCCCATCTGCCTTCTCTCAACCCCCTCTGAACCCCCACCCAAGTTGATAGTCTTTTTTTTCTTTGACTTTGTTACCTGTACATACATATATGTGTGAATGTACAAGTGCATATAAGTACAGTGGCATGAGTCTGTTTTTGTTGGTGGTGTGTACATTGTTTCAAGGCTGACCACTCTGCACTGGACAGGCAATAATGGGGCTCATCCCTGGGAGAGGAAATTCTCCTTCTCCCAGCAGTCATTACTTGCCTAAAGTGCTTTGTCTAGGGCTGGGACCCAGGAACACTTTTCTTCCATGTTTACATGTCCACGGATACTGCCATTGTTCTGGTCTTAATTTTGTAGCCATTTCTAGCCAAGTCTGTTTCACACCAGACTTCCTGGCATTTGGCTTTTAACCAGCTTTCTGTCCCATCTTCCTCCATGTTCCCTGAACCATAGAAGCAGGCTCTGTGAAGTAGACGCAGCTGTTGGGGCCGGCCTCCCTGTGGTCCATTGATTTCAGTGGTCCATTGTAACCAGAGTGGTTTTCTGTGATGGTCTCCATTTGCTGTAAAGAGAGGCTACGTCAATGAGGGGTGATAGCTACACTTATGTGTGGGTCTAAGCATAAGATTTAGAATGTAGTAAGGAATTATGCTGGTCTAGCAAAGCAGCAGTAGCAGATCCTTTTCTAAGAATATAGATTCACATATGTGTACAAGAAGTAATACAGATATATTCCCTGTGCCCTTGACACAATTTCCACCAATGAAAATGCTACAAAATTAAGCACACGATCTGGATATTCACAGTCAAGACACAAAGTATTTCACCTTGAGGGTTTCTTGTGTTACTCTTTTATAGACAAACTCAGCTCTCCCACATCTCAATTATTTTTAGTTTGCTGCAGTTTAATGGTTTCAAGACTATTATGTAGGCAGAGTCATACAGTGCATGACCTTTTGAGATAGACTTTCACCCCACTTAATTCTTCGCAGATCCGCCCAGGTTATGAGGTGTGTGAATGGTATGCTCTCTCTTATGCTGAGTACTAGCTCACGGTAAGATGTACCATGGATGTTAACCTTTGAGTCTCTAAATCTTGTTTCCAGGGTGAGGCTATTATGCATATAGGTGCTATGAATACACATGTTTTTGTGCGATTGAGCATAGGTCTGTTTTTCTGGAATAAATGCTCTGCAGTTGCTGTGCTAAAACAACAGAAACCAGGAAACTTATACAAGAAAGAGTTTATTTGTGTTTATGGTTCCAGGGAGGTAGGAGTCCATCATGGCAGAGAAGCATGGCAGTGAGGAGCAGGAGCAGGAGAGCTCATATCTTCAAATGCAAGCACTCTGCAGAGAGAGAGAGAGAGACAGAGACACAGAGAGAGAAAGAGGATAGCATATGGGGTGAGACCATAAACACTCGAAGCCTCTCCCTGCCCCCCTAGTGATATACTTCATCCAGCAAGACCACACTTCCTAAACTTCTCCAAACAGCATCACCTACTGTGAGTGAATGTTCAAACCTTTGAGCCTATGGAGGATATTCTTACTCAGACCTCTACAGCATAGTTAGTGGATTATCTTGCCAGGGAGGGCCTGTCTCCTCTTCCTCTTTATTATCATTATCATTATTATTATTATTATTATTATTATTATTATTATTATTATTATTAAGCTGAGAGTGACCTTGAATTTCTGGTCTTCTTGCTTCTACCTCCTAAATGCTAGGATTACAAGCATAAACTACAAGGTTCAGTTTCTGCAGTGCAGCGGAGACAGAACCTAGCTTGCCAGGCAAGCGCTCTGCCTACTTATTGTAGAAAGAAACTTCTACTCAGAGTGACTACTGCTTTGGTTTTCCACCAGCAACGTGAGAGTAATTCAGTTTCACCATTTCATGGCCAGCGTGGATGTTGTTGGACACTATTTTAGCTGGAGACCTGACAAGTTTCTCAGTGTGCAATAATTTCACATAAGAGGGCCCCCCTAATGATGCAACACATGTTTTCATGAGCTTATTTGTGATCTACATGTATGTGCCATATATATGTGTCTGCTCACATATCCTGCCCATTTTTAAAATGGGCTTTTTGAGCATGTTTAGCAGTTTTTTTATTATTGAATTTTGAGAGCCCCCTTTGCTTCAGATAAAAGCCCTTTGTCATATGTTATTTATAAGTACTTTTTACCCACTTTTAGTGTTTCTGTTACCAGCTAAGTATGAATTTTCACAAAGCAATTATTAATTTTTTATCAAGTTTAATTTATTATTTTTGCTTTTATGGACTATGGCTTTGGCTTCAGGGGTAAAAACAATTTGCCCTGGATCTTGAAGATATTCTCACGTTTTTATTTTTATTTTTTTCCTATAGTTTTGTGTTAAGCATCAAATTTGTAATCCATTTTAAGCCAATTTTTGTATAAGGGAGATTTATAATACTTTTTAGTATTTTATTTTGCATATAAGTGAGTGTTTAATTGCCTTAGCTCCATACATCAGAAAGCCTACCTTTTCTTCACTGAATCGTCTTTGTGCCATTTTGAAAAATTGGTTTGACATAAACACGTGGGCTCTCTATTGATGAATTCTCTGTTCTCCATTAGTCTGTGTTTCTTTCCACTATTATCACATACTATTGATCACTCTAGCTATGTAAGTCTTGAAATTAGGTAGGCTAGTTATTACAACCTTCTTATTTTCTTTAACATTCTGTTTTAGCCATTTCATTTCCTTTAGCCTATTTAAATTTTAGGACAATGATGTCTATAGCTATGAAAATCTTTCAGGGATTTTGATGTGTTAAGCTTCTATCATTTTGGAGGCATGTGGAATCTTTACTATGTCCACTATTCCATGATTATTCCATGTTCACTTATATCTAGTTTAATTTCTTTTACTGTCACTTGGTTTTCAGCAAGAAAATCCACATTTTTTTTCTAAAAACTTCACTTTTCTGGGTGGTAAGAGTTATAAATCACATCATATTTAACATTTTGATAGCCATGTAATGTCATTGTGTATAACACAATCAATATCTTGCCTTGCCTTTTGTAACTTATTAGTTCTGCTTTTTTATAGACTCATTTGAATTTTCTATATAGATATTCATGTCATCTACAAATAAGGACAGCTTTTATTTCATCCTTTCTGGTCTGCATAATTTGTTTTCTCTTTGTATTGTTTTCACTGCACCTTCTGTGTTTAATACAATGAGTGGTGACAGTGGACATGCTTGATTTTAGTCTTAGGAAACATATTTAGTTTTTTTTTTTATCAGTTACTGTAATTTAGTTGTAAGTTTTTTTTTTTAATCTGAAGAAGTTCCTTTACATTTCTATGTTTTAAGACTTTTAGGGTAGATGTTCAGTTTTATCAAATACATTTTATACGTTGACTGATATGATTGCATAATTTTCTTCTTTATTCTGTTAGTATAGTGGGTTACATTGATTGCTTTTCTAGTATTGAACTAGGTTGTGTTCCTGGAATAAAACTCATTGGCTATAATTTTTTTATATACTGATGGACTCTATTCACTAATATTATGTTAAATATTTTGGCATCTACATGTATGAGGAATAATGGCTCACAGATTTATTTTTTAAATGTTGTCTTTGTCTGGTTTTAATATCAGGATAATCTTCCCTTCATAAAGTAAACTGAGAAGACTTTCCTTATTCTTAAAGACAGTGACAAGATTGGTGTTAATCACCCACACTTACTAAGATGGTTGTGAGACACAGACAAATAAGAGCTAGGTTTTAGAGAGGATTTACAGGAAGAGGAGCAGTAAGGTGCCGTTGGCCAGAGTGTAAATACATATACATTTTAGAGAAACAACATGGGGAGTCTTTACAAATTTTAAAGCAGACTTGTGTTTATACGTCCAGTGGAAGGGTATGAGGTCAGTAGGTCAAAGGCATGACTAACTGCACGCTCATGCTCATAGCAGCACTAGCTAACCATAGGCAGCAAGAGCTAAGTTACAGCCTCAACCTAACTGTCCCACAGAAGAGAAATTGATTGAAAACATGACACATACTCGTACCTGTAGTGAAAGTGTTGGTGTCTTTAAAAACTCGGTTATGTTATATAAGTATGTTTTCATTTTGATCCCAAGTGTGGGATACGGGGCTGGTTTTAATTTGTCCACAGCTGTTAACTATGATTGCCTCGTGCGGGCTCCGAGAGGGGCATGATCTTTGCCAGCTGCGGGTAGTTTAATTCTGAAGACTCTGAGAGTGTCTGAATGCCAGAGACAGAGGAAAAGGGGTCTGAGGAGGAGGAAGGCTGCTGTCTGCTGGTTTTCTGGTTAGCTGAACTGCTGGGTATACTGACCACAAAGACTGGAATTGCCCCAAGAAGCTAAGTCTAAAGAGGTCTATGTCCCCTTTCTCTTCTGAAATTCTTTCTCTCCTATCTAGTGTTGGGGGGTGGTTGTAAGGGAGGTAGAGGTATAAAAAACCCAATAAAGTAGATAAAAGTACACCTCCATGTACCCATCATATATATGTAAATGAACACATGTATACATATACACAAACCTATATACACATACCCTCACAGTGGAATATAATTAAGCCTTAGAAGTTGAGGAAGTCTTGTCAACCACGGCAACAAAGATGAATCTGGAAAACAGCACGTTAAATAAACCAGGCACAGAGAGGCAAATGCAAATCATCACACTTATGTGTAAAATTCAAAACTGTCAAAATCCTCAAAACTCAAAGAATCAGAGAGTAGGCTGGTGTCCTAGTTCTCTTTCCATGACTGTGACAAAGACTGTGATCCAAAGCAGCCTGGGGACGAAGGAGTTCATTTGTCCTGCTTTTCCTGATCCCAGCCAATTGTTGAGGCAAGTCGGGTAGGAACTCAAGAACATGGAGTCAGGAGTTGAAGCAGAGATCAGGGGGAATGCTGTTGCTGCTGACAGGCCTGCTCTCCCTGACTGACTTACTCAGACTTAAGATTTTGTACAACCCAGGACCACCTTGCCCAGGGGTGGCGCTGCTCACAGCAAGTGGGGCCTTCCCACACCAATCACTAAGCAGGAAAATCCTATGGGAGTGTTTTCTCAACTGATGTTCTGTTCCCTCTTTTCAGGTGAAATAACTCGTGACAAATTAACGAAGAACATTTTTTTTTGGCCAATCTGGGTCAAGTTGACAAAATGTAAGCAGCTGCTACCAAGAGATTGGGAAAGGGAGGTTTGGGGAGACATTTGTCAAAATGATGTGAAGTTTCAGTGCAATTTGAAGGCAAATGGGATGGACATTGGAGGAGGGAGAAAACAGGGAACAGACAGGAGCCTACCACAGAGGGCCTCTGAAAGGCTCTACCCTGCAGGGTATCGAGGCAGATGCTGAGACTCATAGCCAACCTTTGGGCAGAGTGCAGGGAATCGTATGAAAGAAGTGGGAGATAGTAAGACCTGGAGAGGACAGGAACTCCATGAGGAGAAAAACAGATCCAAAAAGTCTGGGCATGGGTTTTTTTCAGAGACTGATACTCCTGCCAAGGACCACTCATGGAGATGGCCTGGAACCCCTGCACAGAGGTAGCCCATGGCAGTTCAGTGTCCAAGTGGGTTCATAGTAATGGGAACAGGGACTGTCTCTGACAGGAACTGATTGACCTGCTCTTTGATCACCTCCCCCTTAGTGGGGAGCAGCCTTACCAGGCCACAGAAGATGACAATGCAGCCATCCTGATGAGACCTGATGAACTAGGATCAGAAGGAAGGAAAGGAAGACCTCTCCTATCAGTGGTCGTGGGTGGGTGGGGGAGAGGGTCGGATTGGGAGGGGAGGAGGGAGGGAGATACAGGGGGGATACTAAATGAATAAACTGTAATTAATAAAAATAAAAATAAAAAAACAAATTTCCCTTATAACAGGAGCACTATTTAGTTCATCTCATTGTTACATGTGTATGATTTTTGAGGCATAGGCACATTTTATATAAGTTGTTAAGTTTATGTGTGTAGAGCTGTTCATAATATTTCCTTATTATCCTTTTGGTATCTACAGCCTTAAAGGATAGCCTCCATCTTATTCCTGAGATCACAAATTTGTGTCTTTTTCCTTTTAGTTGGTTTGAGATTGCCAGTTCTATTCATTTATTTTAAAATAACCGGTATTTCCATTGCTTTCTGCCCACTCCACCTTTTTTTCCTTTTGGCTTATTTGCTCTTCTCTTTCCAGATTTTCTATATAGTTTATTACATTTTTGATTTTCTTATGTATGTGCCAAGTGCCATACATTTCCTTGTCGGAACTGCCTCATGTATCCTATCTTTTTTGTTTGTGTGTCTTTTTTTTCCCTCTGTTTTCATTTCACTGTGTGTGTGTTTAAAGCTTTCTAAGATTTTCTGACGGAATATTTCGAAGTGTGAGATTTAGTGTGCAAGTGTTTAAAGATTTTCCTTTATCTGTTACTGATTGCTACCCTGGTTCCTCACTAACAGAGAGAACTCACTTTGATTCAGTTGTTTTAAATTTGTTGAAGTTTTTTTTTTTTTTTCATGGCCCAGGCTATATTAATGTGTTCCACGTGGTTCATCTAAGGGTGCTTAAAAAGAGTGTATATAACCCACGTGGAAGGTTGTTGGGGAATGTGCCTATAAATGTTAGGTAGACCTTGTTGGTTGTTGAAACCATTGGCTATGCCTCTCTTCCTGTTGATTTTGCTTAGTTATTATTCACTTATGGGGGGTAATGTTGGAGTAACCACGCATTACTGTGAACATAGCCATGCCAAGGACCAGTACCTCAGACTCATGGGAGTGGCAAAGATTTCTCTGGGTGAGATTCAAAGGGATGGCAATGACTTCTGTTGGTTCGAGTGTAAATGTTGATGATGTGTACAACGATGAGTGTTGAGAAATGATTGATCAGTGTGTGCAAAACCTAGCAACTGCAGCTTCCTTTTCCTGGCTAGCCAGAGCCTGAGGCTATCACCCTATAGATGCCTCCTGTAAGGACCAGCTAACTCTTTCTTTTCCCGTTCTGTACATAATAAATAGGCTACATATTTAAACATACAAATGTATATAAACATGTAAATAAACAGGTTCCAGGATGTTGCATAGTCTGTGTTACTTCAACTGAGAGCACATCCAATCCCAGCTTTTCTCTAAGTGTGTCTGTATGTCTGTCCTTTCTTCATTCCCTTGCTTCCCCAGTCACATTTCCAAAACCATGCCATGCTGGATGTGAAACTCCTTACTGAAGCATATTTTGTCCAGATAACCTATTCATCCTGGATAGACAGATCTTGTTTGTTGTCACTTAAATAATATTGGACTATACGTTTTTGTTTGTTTGCTTCTGGCCACTATGGTTTCTGATAAAAGAAATCCATTATTATTTAGTAATTTCTCTTCCTATAGGCAAGCCATTATTTCTTTCAAATATGAAGGCATAATAAGAAAGTTTTACATAAGATAGAAGATCTTTTGTTACTAGTATGCTTTGCCGGTGCTTCAGGAAGAAGAAAACCAATCTCATGGAAATACAAGCAGAAACAAAGGGCACTGGGAAGAACATGCAGAGAAAGAGAATGAACATTGACGGCATAAAACGGCAATGTACTGCAATAGGCACACATAGCATTAAAGTTCCTGGTAAAACAAAAGGTGGTGCGGGCCACATTAGTGTGTTTAATGTTTGTAGCATTTCTTGGGAAAGCATAAAACATGAATTTATTTCAGGTTGTGTATCAGATCAGTGAAATTCATTTCAAGGAATTGTCTTCTGCATTGTAAGGACTATAAAGTCTTTTGCTCCAGGGCAAAGCAGTAGGCTGGAGACTCCCAGGCTGGATCTGGTGTTATTTTGACTCAGAATTTTGTCTTGAGAGAAACTTCATTTCTCCATTTTAGGCTCTTCAGATAAGGCTCTCACAGACATACCCCGGAGTGTGCTCTGCTAATTCTTAGGCACCTCTTAGCCCAACCAAGTTTATAGCCAAGATTAACAATCATAATGACAAAAGAAACAGTGTGATAGAAACACTAAACTGCAGGTAGATACACATCTAATCACATAGCCCAAAATGTAAAAGCAAATGCTTCAGTTGGGAATGGCTCAGTGGTTAAGAGCGCTTGCTACACAGAATGAGGGTCTGAGTTATAATAAAAAGCCACCCTATCTGCATCTCCAGCTTCATGGATGGTGGAAACAAGAGGATCAGTGGGGCTTGATGGCCACCAGTCAAACTCCTGGTTCACTGAGAAACCCCGTCTCAAAGGGATAATGTGGAGTATGACAGAAGACAACCCCTCCTTTGGCTTTAACACTTGTGCACATATACACAAACATGCAACACACATACACACACAGACTGAGCCAAGTGTAATGGTGCATGTCTATAATCCTAACACTCAGGAAGTAGAGACAGAAGGGTCCAAAGCCACACAGTGAGTTTGAGGCAAGATTGGGCTATGTGACATTGTGGCTAAACACACACACACACACACACACACACACACACACACACACACCAGCCATCCAACCAACCCAAAGCACCACAACCATTACTAAAGGTCGATAAAAGTAAGGGAGCAAGAATAGATGCAAGCATAGTCATAGTGGAAAACTTTAACATAACTTTTGTTAATAACTGAATAGTGGTAAATGAAAAAAGTAATACAATAAATTACAAAAATACAATATAGGAAAATCTAGACAAACTTTATTTATGGTAGAACCTCGTAGGCAGCAATAATGAGAGTGAACCTTATTTTCAAGTGCAGACAGAAAATTTGCCAAAATTGTATGCTAAGATAAAAATCACATCTCAACTGATTTCAAAATTTTAATCTCCTACAACTACAGGGAATTTAAGATGAAAGCAACTGTAAAACACTAGAAAATTCTTCAACGTTTTGGAGTTGAAGACCATGCTATTAAATAACTGTTCTGTCAATGAAGAAATCACAAACTATTTTGAATGCTAATGTAAACGTTGTTTCTCAAAAGCTTAGGGGAATAGGGATAAACCCTGGTTAGAAATAAATTTATAGCATTAAATGCAAGCCTTAGACAAGAGTGAAAATGAGCTATATGTATCTATATATATTCATATCGATATATCTATATGTCCATTTCAGGATTGCAGAACTAATGGGAAATTAAGCCCAAATTAGGAGTGAAATCATAAATATAAAAGAGATCAATGAAGAAGGATTCAGATCCGGCTTTGTAGGACATTCACTCTCTTTAGATACGTTTATTCCTGAGAAGGCTTATGTTCATTCTCAGAGAGAAGTTATAAAGTTAGAATGCAATAGCTTGATCTAAGAGAGAAGCCCTGGCCTAGACATCAGCATGTTTGGGTCCTAGGCAGAACCACGTGCCTTTTCCTTGCAGCTTCTCATCAAATAAGACTGAGGCATCCTACCTACTCAGGAGGGTTTTAGATCCTGGAATGACTCAGAAAACCATGTGAAGACTTAAACCTAGGACCCTGGCTTGGCCCCACTTTTGTCACTGACATGATGCTAGCAGCTGCATTTTTAGTCTACAAACCAAGATTTTATTCCTTCCAGCTCTCCGTTAAGAGATGATATATAATTATCCATCTTTCACAAATGAGATGTATAAGATCCAATTTCACGTCATGAGGCATAGAGCTTGTTGCTCAGAAGGGAACTGGAAATGAGTCAGCTTTCGTGGTGGCTTGCTCTCTCCCTCCCCTTCTCTTTTACTCATCAATTTGACCAGCACATAAAATAGTATAAAGTATTCTTCTGATCACTGGGACACAAAGATGAGCGAGACAGGACAGATTTGACTGTGAGTGTTCCACGTTAACAGCTTTGCCATAAGGAGGACAATCCACCAATGCAGATTATTGTGGCCAAACGTGATCGGACAGGCAATTACAATTTATAGAGCAGAAGACTTCAGCAAAGGCTCTCTGCTTCGGCTGAAACGATGTTTTGTTTATATAGAGAGATGAGAGGCTGCAGATCTGGCTCCGGTGTGAATAGCGGCCTATAGAACAGTGGTTCTCAACCTGTGGGTCATGACCCCTTTAGGGTCACCTATCAGATAGCCTGAATATAAGATATTTATATTACAGTTCATAACTGTAGCAAAAAATCACAGTTAAGAAGTGACAACAAAAATAATGTTACGGTTGGGAACCTGATACAGCACGAGGAGCTGTGTTAAAGGGTCTCAGAATTAAGAAAGTTGGGAACCACCGCTATAGGCTGTTGCTTTGATTATTTCTGCTTGCTGCAGGCTCCACAGAATGAATACATTCTCTGGTTACTCTGTAGTCTCAGTGTACTATAACATGTTAGAGATCATCATAGTTGTCTCTGTCACTCACTGAGGTACACGTGTGATATTTTCACTCCTGGTTTGTCTATGAAGAATTTGAAGCCTGGAGAAAGGCCTGTTAGTTTCATGAACTCACTCAGTTGTTGATAAAGCAAGGTCCAAAACCTGTTACAGCTATTGGTTCTGTCTCAGAGTTGTCTGCCTTCTCATACCTTCAACTGTCCTTACAATTGTGGTAAAAAAAAAAAAAAAAAAACCAAAACAAATAAAAAAATAAAAAAACTAACATATTAATGATGTTTTTTTCAGTTGGTATATTTGGGTAGTGGCTTTATTCCTAGGCAGTCAAATGTTGGCTAGAATAATGCGATGATTGAACCTTTTCTGTGGGCTGTGTTTTCTGAATGATTACCCATTTGTCTCATTTATCTTTAAGTAAGCTTGTGAAATAGGTAGTTCTAC